CCGGGCGCGCGGCTCTTGGAGGTGGCCCCCCCCCCAGGCGCACTGATATGGGGGGCCCCGCCCCCTGGCACCCGGCGGGCGAACGGCCACGCCCCCTGGCGCCCGACAACCTCAAAAGGTTGGGGACCACTGATATAAGATATACATTTTATAATATGTAGACAGATGCCCAATGGAGTTACAAAATCACTTTTCAAAAAGCCATATTTAAATCTACACTCTATGGGTTTATCTAGATTACACAGAACAATCAAAAGAGGATATGCAAATCCCACGGGAATTTGTATATCTTCTTCCCATCGCACTTTTGAAAGCAGAGCTTTCGAAAGTGAAAGTCGTTTAGACGCAGCTTTTTCGGCGACACTCCCCCCCATCCAAAAACCACGTAAACCTTCAGCAAATGGGAGGAGGATTCACCACAAAAGCTGCATCTAAACTACTTCCACTTTCAAAAGCTCTGCTTTCGAAAGTGCAATTGGAAGAAGATGTGCAAATTGCCTCCGGAAATTTGCATAACCTCTTTTGACTGTTCCACATAGTCTAGATGAGTCCTAAGGGTACATCTACACTGTAACACTATTCTGAAATAACTTAGTCTGAGTCTACACAGCAGGCAGTTATTTCGAAATAGTGTCAAAATACTGTCAAGCTGGAGGACTTCTTACTCTAACTCCTGTAACCCTCATTGTATGAGGAATAAGGGAAGCCAGAGGAAGAGTGCTCTATTTTGAAATAAGTGCTGAGTAGACGCTCCCTATTTCTAAATAAGCTATGCAATTGATGTAGCTCACACCCTAAAGCAGAAGGAGCAGTGTTTTATTAATCTTTTTAAATATCTGCTCCTTTTGCATCCCCAACAATATCTGCACCAAATAAGTCAAAGATGTTCTTGATCAGGAATGAGAAGCATCTGCCTGTCAATTTTTACATGAGAATTCTACGTTCTTCTGTTCAGTGTCTACTTTGCAAGAATGCCGTTAGTTGCTTTCAAGGATTGCTAATTGGATATACCCATCCAGTACCAAACTGATGGCAACATTTTCAGCCTCCAAAGACTTCTGGTTCACACTAAAGTGTTTGATGATGATTGTACATTGTTGGCTCATTTAGTCAAGGATTCATAGAAGTTTTTGATCATTTTGCCACCTCTGCTCACTATTTGGGACTCACTGTGAGCTGCAAGATAGAGGTTATATTTCAGTCTGTCGGGAGAGAGCCCAGAAACCCAGTGACATCTGCTGCTGATATAATCCTTAAGGCTGTTGACAAATTCTGCCACATTGGAAGCCTACTGTCCTTCATCATAAACGTTGGTGACCATGTAACTACTTGACTAGCCAAACGCCACCACTACAGATTAGGCATTGCAAATGAGGCAGGGATTTAAATATCCAGTGCCTAATTTGCATAAAAATGGACGCCGTGTTTTGCCTACTCAGCACAGGACAATTGCCGTTTTTAAAGTTTTTCTATGAACAAATGTTTTTTCTAGACTAGTCATGTTATGAAAATGGATGATACATGGATACCAAAGATGGTCATCTACAACCAGCTTATTTGTGGAAAATACTCTACTAGCAGTCAGTATAAGTATTATAAAGATATCTTAAAGGCCAACGTGAAGTCAAGGGGTATATCTCTCAGTGATCTAGAAATAATAGCTTAAGGCAGATTGTTCTTGCAGCACACTATTGCATAGGATCTCAAACATTCTGAGAGTCAACGTATCCAGACATTACAAAAAAAGCATAGGATTCTAAAAGAGTGCACAGCACCCATAGATAGCAGATTTTTGTGTGACATCTGCAATCAAATTTGTCAATTGAGGACTGGTTTAGTCACTTACCAATGGTGTCATAGAAGATGAGATCCACCAATCAATGGCTCAATCCACCATTTAAAATTTATGGCAAAAGTACTAAACCCCTGGGATAGGTACACACACATCTGTGTGCATTATGAGGAAGATTCTGAAGGACAAGCATAGAGACTCACAAACTATTTAAAGGGATACTACCTACTTTCTATCACTACAGGTGCTTGTGTCCCATGTGTGCCTTTGAAAATCTATCCATCTGGATACAAATCTGCACAAATTCAATACGTTTAGAAATTTCATATTCAGTGACGAATGCACAAATCTCTGCCCATTATAAATACTAAGTGTGATGTCCAGAATATCCCATCTGTCCAAAAAAAAAGCCTCCCTAGTTTGCCTCTCTCCAAACCAGAATTCAAAGGAGAACCAGAATTCTCTGTGTATCTCTTTCTAAAACAAATAACTAATGGCATAACAAACTAACACTGGATTGGAGGTGTAGTGGATTTTCCCCATAAAGATACTGCTGCTGTGGACATAGGAAATCCCACTAGCCCAATGCATCATCATTTCACTAACTGTGCACTACTCCTAACTATTAGACCAAAATCATGTCTGACTTGCTGTCACTCCTCCAACTCCTGCTTTCCTGAAGACTGAACTGGCAATAGCAAGGTGGCTGCTGATTTCTTTGGGGAATAATGGACAGCAGATATTTATATACACACCTATAATTTTCAATGCAGCAGTCAAGGAACATCAGATGCCTGGGTAAACACTTTCCCTGAATTTCCCTTTATTTGAAGTGAATGAATCTGTTAAAAGATATAATAAAGAATTGAATCCAAAAGGTTACCTTCTTAGTGCTGTAATCTGCTCATCTGTAAATCCGCCACCATCTTCATGTAAAATGTATAATTTTTCTTTCAATTGGTTTGGTTTTATATGGAAACTTTTCAGAAAAATATCTAGGGGGAGAATGATTTTTTGATTACTTAGACATAAATGTACAAGAGAAGGAAAATGCTGAAACATTTCATAGTTACTTTCTTGATAAAATTAGTTTTCACTTAGCAGCCACTAAAAGTTCCGGTGAATACCCCCGTCTTTATATAAGTACAAATAGCTGTAGAGCATCAAAAATCCTTATTATTATTGTTAGAACGCAACCATTGCCTTAGACAGAACTATCAAGACACTGTCAGAAGAAGCACATAAGTGCTTGCTATTAGATATTACTGTTGAACTCAGCCTAGTAGTCCGAGTACACTTACATTTGTTTGGAATAAAAAGCAGCCTACAATTACACACAGATCTTTATTTTACTTCTTGTGGTGCTTTGAAGATCAAAGATACAAACCTTCCATTTATTTTTGTTTTTTAAAGCTCATCAAAGGCGCCAATTGACAGCCCTAGAGACTAGTCATCTGTTTATTCACCAGATAAAGGCAGCATCAATATACGCTTCTCTTGCACTACACTTCAACCCTCCCCTGGAAGGGCCACACTTATGGGTATGTCTCCCCTGCAAAAAGTGTATTCTAAAGTCAGATTAGATAACTCAGGAGCAAATAGCACTGTAGGCATGGAAGTTCAACTTTGCAGCTGATGTTCAACTCAACCCAGCCTCTACTGCAGGCTTTAAGTTAAACTGCTAACCTGAGCTGTCATGTCTTCACTACTATTTTAACTTGGGTTTGTTAACTTGAGTTAAGAATGCACCTTTTTAGCAGCGTAGGCATATTCTAAGCCCTGGTCTACACTGGGGAGTTATTTCAAAATAATGCCCCTTATTTCAAAACTAACAAATTAGCCCATCATAAGACGGGATTTTCAGGTCTCTCTTCCACGTTGGTCTTCTCTCCTGAGCCTCCGGTCTCTCGCTCCGTCTCTCTCTCTCTCTCTCCTCCTCCTCCTCCTGCCTCCCCCTCTCTCTCTCAGCTCTCCTCTGCCTTCTGCCTCTCTCTCCGTCTCTCTCTTTCTCTTCTCTCCCTCCTGCCTCTCACTCTCCCTTTCTCTTCTCCTCCTCCTGCTGTGTCTCTCTTACTCTCTCGCCGCTCCGTCTCTCTCTTTCTCTTCTCCCCCTCCTGCCTCTCACTCTCTCTCCGCTCTCCTCTGTCTCCGTCAGGGATGCACGCTCGTCCAGGCCACGATCCCTGGGCATGTATGTCACCACCCCGCTCTCCTTTGCCTTCCACGGTGGCGCTCGGCTGACTTCTGTGGGAGCCATGTGGGAGCAAGCGGCGCAAATGGCCTCTCTCTCTTCTCCTCCTATTGCCTTGCCCTCTCTCTCTCAGCTCTTGTCCGCCTCCTGCCTCTCTTTCCTTTTCTCTCTTTCTCGTCTCCCCCTCCCGCCTCC